CCAACCAATTCGCTACAGACATCAAGCGTAACTTAATGTACCCCAGACTTTTCAATATTATCAATGACTCGATTGTCCAAGTTCCTCAATTTGTATCTATATCTAGAGAGAACCTATTTATTAAAAATAGTAAAAAAAAAAAAATCCGCCAAAATTAATTGCATGTCGCTGTAGGAAATTATTTGAATTTTATTTCCCATAAAATCAGGCAGCATTAAATGCTCCCTTAAATGGTGAGTTTATTCAATTAAAGTTTATTCATTCCATTTTATCTTACCTTCCATATAATCATATTCACAATAAACATTAAATTTGCTTATATAATTTTAAATTAATTTTATCAATAAATAATATTAATATAAATATTTATTGTTAGATAAAAAAATAAAATTACTTCTATATGTGCTATAAATAATAATGACATTATACGACAGTAAATTTTTGAATAAAATAAATTTGAGTATTATGATGAACCAAAGTATGTAATATTATTATTTTTTCTGTATTAAAAAATAAATATATATGTTAAAGTATTATTTATAGTAATATAAACGGGTCAACGAGCTAATATATTGTTAAAATAAAGTTTTGAAAAAATGTTTTAAAATACGAACCACGTGTCACACGAGATTCTCACTAGTATATATAAAGTTACAACCTATTTACCGAAAATAATAACAAGAAAAGTCAACCCAATTAATGCATTCTATTTTTATCATTTTTCCAGTTTTATTATTATTTTATTGCCATAAATCGGTCAGCCAAAAAATAAAAATAAAAAAAAAAATCAGCTTTTCAACCAAAATTGATGGGTTTTGTTGTGGATTTAACTTAATTTACGTACATTTCCACAAATAATGTTTACAAGTTTGTATAGATTGAAAATTCCTTCATATATTTAAATTCCTATAGATTAAGATTCCTAGAATCCATACTATTCAAAATACTAATGATTGTTAACAAATATACATCTACATTACTTTGTAACTAATTGTATATGAATGTTGATTAAAATACTAATGGTAAGCATAATAAAATTTTGGAATGGTGCGTCATCAAACTAATATCTATTTTAATTCTAATTTAGTTGTTACAAGGATAAATACTGCTTATGAAATTGTATCATTAATAAAAAATTATTGTATATTCTATTAGATTCTTGGAGGGAAAAAAAAATCTGAATGCCCCAATTATAGCATGTTAATTACAAATCTCCATTCAAATCCCCCCTATATATAATTCCCGAATGTGTTGAGCCTAAGTGGCAGATTCGCATGCTTCGGGATCCTACGTGTCAAAATTCCGTGCTTCATTGTATGGCTTGGATAGATTTTAATTTAATTTTAATTCTAAAATAATTAGGTCCGGATTACCATAAATATGTTTATTTATTTATGATCATTTTAGATATATTAATTGTCTTAATATTATTTCCTATTATAACAATTGAATTGTAAATGTATTTTAAAAGTTGACAACTTTTGTATTTCTTAACGGTTTTACATATATAATATACCAAATTAATCGTCTTTTGATGAGCTTCGATTTGACATCCATGTTGTAAATACAAAATAAAAAAATTATATTTATTTTTATAATAATAATAATAAAATTATCTACTAAAATTAATTAAAAATAAAATCATTTCTCAATTAATATATTTATGTTTAATGTAGTTATATATTATAAGTTTGAAAAATTATTATAATATAACACGAGTATGTCGCACAAGTAACAAGTATCTTACTAAAATATATAATAATATATATTTTTTTATGAAAAATATTTGAATTTTCAATCACTTTTTTCTCATTAACTTTAAATTTTAAGGAAAAAAATTCGCAAGCAACCGTGTAATACACGGGTGTTGTACTAGTAATATATACACTATATAATATAAGGATAAATCAGTTGTTACCCTCAAAACACTCCGCCATGCAATCCTCACATCTTTCGAAAAAAAATATGCTCATACATTTAAAGGTAAAAAAAAGATATAGATCAACCATTTGGCTTGATCAAACAACTTAAGAGAAATAAGAAATTCATGCTAAGCTTCGAGCTATTCGTACATAATAATTTTTAAAATTTCAAAATTAATCACTTGATATGCAATTAGCACGATGACGCGATACAAGCATGAGTTACTACATATCAGATATATTTTGCTTATCAATTTATGTTGTTGTATTATATATTTCATATGTTATTAAATATCATGGTGTTATAACAAAGACACTGTTATAATTATTTATAATTCATTTTGAGTAATCTGTCAATAATCTTTATAACTATAAAAAAATTATTTCTTTAAGGAAAATTTTTTTTCAAGAAAATATACAAATGTTGAAAATGAGAAAAGGAGGAAATAAAAAATTCTACAAACTATTCTTTTTTAGTAACCAAAAGTATTTAGTAAAAAGTTACACATGCTATTTCAAAAGTAAATGTCAAACCTTGTAAATAAATTATTATTAAATGTCAAAACTAAATATATATTAATTTTGCAAATGATTATTGCTAAAACGATAAAAAAAGAGAGAGAGAGAGAAATAACAATTCTATTACTTTCCATACAACAACAACAAAAAATGTTATTATGTAGTTATTATGAATTATTTTTGTTGTGCTTAAGATATCTCTTTTGTATAACATGTTTATAATATTTTATAATAAAATATATAACAATAACAAATAATAATATAACTAAGGATTCAGATGGAAAAGTGTTTTAAGTGGAATTTGTTGCAAAATTGTAAATATATATAAAAACAACTAAAACTGAATGAGCATAACCGAAAATTATAATTATAATACATGCTAAAATTATGAATAGAGATCTTTCCTTTACTGTAAATAGCCCATACGATAAATGAAATATCATGATAAATTGTATAAATAATTATTTTATGAAATTATAGTAATTAACAATTATTTTTTGAATTTATCATTATCATAAACTTATTTGATTTTATCTTTTGTTAATCCCTCAAAAAATAAATACATGATTCCATCATAAATTGAGCATTAAGTTTCAATAATAGGATAAAATAATGGTTTTAAACCACTAAACTTAAGTTGTGATTTCTGAGTGAAAATGATAAAATTGTATAATAAAGTGGAAGTATTTTTTAACGAGCCTATGGAGATATATTTAATCATTTTTATTATTTAAAATACAGTATATTAAAAAAAACATATAATAAAATATAAACTTTATCTCACACACACACATATATAAATAAATAATCTATATATTTATATATACATACATGATAATTAGGTTACGGATGTTGATAGAAAACTTCTATCAAAATTTTTTTAACTAATTATATATATGTAATTTTTGGCAAAGTGTGTATATATATATTAAAAATTTTAATTTTATATATACAGATATATACATATATATATATGTGTGTGTGTGTGTGTGTGTGTGTGTGTAAATTTGGCAAAGTATAATATTATGATGATTCATCATTAGAAGTCATTACAAGTCTTGCACTTCAAAACTTGACATTATTTATCTTGTATAGTTCACTACCTATTTAATTATTAGTTAACATTTTACATAAATTATTGTCTTGCAATACTTTGAGCATGAAATGTGTTCCCAATCCCAAAACAATCATTCACTACAAATATATATAGATAATGTTATAATGTGTACTCCCTCCGTTTATTATTAATTGTCGTTTGAGTGAACTTTAAATTTTTCTTATTAATTGTTGTTAAAAGTAATTAGTTTCATGTAATTATCTAAAATCCTAAAAATTTGTAGATTGAGTTCATGGTTTATTTGTTTGTTACGTATATTTAGGAGTAAACTCTTTCACTTCATTCCAATAATATAAAAAGAGAACAATTTTTTTATGCTTATCCAAATGGAAATGGAGAAAGTAACTATCTATAATAATTAAAAGACTAAATTTAAGGGAATTAGTGTATAAGATAAGTAGTAACTACACACATCGCGTTAAAATCGTAATTTAGAGGTTTTATATTAAAGTGACATCTAAAAAGAAACAGAGGGAGTAACTTTTAGTTTAAATCTTTTTATCCTTAAGTAAAAATTCAAATATGGCATTTTAAAACTATATAATAAAATTGTTGAAATTTTAGACGATTCAATTTGCAAATATAAATTGAATTGTGGTTTAATATTTCGTCAATAATAATAATGAAGACAGAAGTACCTACTACCTACTCAATGGACAATTGACTTAGTTCAAAAAGTGATCATCGCAAATAATACTAGAAGCAATGAGAATGGGATCAAAACAAAAAGTGGAAACGCTATTAAGAAAACTGATAGAACTATCAAAAACTACTTTAGAGAATAATAGAACACAGACAATTAGATAAAATACATGTTGAAGTATTAAAAAAATCAAATCAAATAAAATAAAAAGATAAAACTACAAAAATATATATAATAATTTAGAATAGGCGACAATTTTGCGCTACTTTTACGATTGTACAAACAAATCTATTAACTAAACAAATCATGAATATTCTGCGTAATTACATGAATTATTTGTACAAGTATCTTCCGAGGTAATTTTTTTGCTTTTTCTTTTTCATTTTCAAGCATGTTATACTCGATTTTTATTAGTTAATTGACATTTTATGCACTAATAGAACTTAGCAAAATTGTGATTTACTTGGCATGATTACAACTTTGTCTAAATAAATAAAATAAAAAAAAAAAAAATATAAATTAATGAAGGGTTTGTATACCAAACTTTTCGTGTACAAGTTTTATCATGGCTTTCAATTATTATCATTATTTCAAAATTATGTATAATACATTTGAGATAATTCATTAGGTAATGTACTTCTTTTATTTGATTAATTAAAACTAATAATTATAATAACCATATAAATATAAAACAACGTAAAATAAAAAGATAAATAAATAAAAAGAATCATGCATCATGTGCATCGCGCTTTTCTAGTTCCCAAGAAGCAACAAGGATAGGTATTGGTTTATTATTATTTCAAAAAGTTGTTAGCTTCTCAAACACACCCCCGATGTACAAAGTAACCACCAAAGTGTTATAATAAAACTGAAAATTGAACAAACATAAAAGTTAAAAACATATGCATGTAGCCAAGGTAACAAACTGGAAGTTAGGAAAGATGAAACCAAAGTACCTGGTTCCAAGCTAAGGTATTTCGAATGTCATTTTCAAGGACTTGCTGGCAGAACATAAGTTCGTCTTTCCAACCCCCAAATCTCTCCATGGTCCACTGCATAAACAAACGTGTACCATTTATCACTCCAACCTGACTAACACAAAACACTATAAAGATCGGAGCTAGTGAGCTTTCACCCAAATGCTATGCTAATGACAGTCTACCTTTCTGTGTGACCAGGCATAGATGTTCTTTACATCGTCAGCTAAAACTTGACCAGTCAAATTGCATTCCTCACGAATAATAGACACAGCAGACTGAAAGTCACCACCATTCTGATGTTTCTCGGCAACAAGCCACTGCCTGTAGCACCAAGCATGCATGTTATCTCGACACTTTAACACGTCCGTCACGTCTCTAAGTTCAGTGTCTATGGTATCAATCAAGAAATCCTTCACATACATCCGGACAAACCAGACCAAGTATAGCCAAGCAAGACTGTTTGTAGGGTCATTTTCCAAAATCCCTCTCACAAATTTGAGTTCTTTATATCGAGAGGCCGCTGGAAGGATGACAACGAGAGACTTTCTGAAGGACCAAGCTATGTTATTCTGGCGAAGAATGCCGGCTACCATTTGATTCATCCATACCAGCAAATTATGCGTATGGTTGAGGTCATTTTCGTATTGAATAAAACGTAGATTCTTCAACATGAATGTCCATGGAGTATCCATGTGTGGTTGAGCAGACAAAATACTCATAGCAAACTGAAGTTGTTGTCTTGCAGCTTCAGCCCCAAGCATCTCAATAATTGAAAGAATATGGTTCCTGTACACATATATACATAAACGTATGCATATATATACATACATATTTATATATATATATATATATATATCAGTTAATCAAATTATAGAAATCATTTATTTATTTATTTTTAAGAAAAAGAAAGAGAAAAGAGCGCACCAATTATATAAAAGAAAAAGTTGTTGCCGTGGAAGTATGTATGCTGCGATTGCATTTATACCAAGAAGTTGACTCAAGTAAAAAAAATAAAAGAAATAAAAAAAAATGACACGGCAAATTGGCATTGTAATTTATGTGTTCATAATTCATTTCCGTGTGCAATATGCCATTCATTTGATTCTCCTATAAACAATAGCAACTTAGTTTATTCTGGTCATGGTCAGAGGCTGGGAAGCACCACCCTGTCTGGTTATCATTTTAATTGATATAACATAGAGAATCAAACACCAATCAAGAACAAAGCAAATCTTCCATGCCTCAGTAACCCAATCATATTCATCTTTGATAAATAAACTCAAGGATGCGCAAAGAAATTTTATTGCAGAATAATTCAGTTTTTGGATAATCAATTTGAACATGAAGATGTCCTTCTAAGGGAGGAGTAACTCGTAATGAGTATACAAAACAAAATTGTCATACAATCTACGAGGCAAAGAGCTATATACATATACATGTTAGCAAAGCAATATTCAGTACATAAGTAGTGTAAGAACTTGGACCAGTAAATTGAATTTGCATTAAATATTAATGTAGCTCACCAAAAAAGTTCACTATCGAGTATGGCATCATCATCAGCGTTGGAGTTCAGAAATGTCAATTCTTCACGCAATTTATCGAGTCCAACAAGAATACGTAATCTAGATTCCCAGATCTGAAACAAAAGAATGCACAAGTCTTTTTATTTGACTGTCAAGGATATCCACATAATTTATGAACCAAAAATGTTATTTACTTCAACTATAAAACAAAGTTGGTATTCTTCTTCATATAAAAAGGGTTTTGAAATTAAATTTCTTGTATATCTAACAACCTCATGAACATATGCCACAGTACACGAAACAGAAGACAGCATCAAAATTCAGAATGACCACTGCCATTACTCTTCTCACGATTCCTGTGAGAGAGGATTGTTTTCTGACAGAACCTCCATATTGATAGGCACTAATGCTCGCTAAGGTTTCACTCTCCAGACTCCAATATATCCTAAAAATGTTAATGATGGTTGAACCTTCCTCAAGCAAACTTGACTGCATTGAAGTAACATATATAAAGAAATGTATTAACATACAAAATACAATAATAATAATAATAATAATAATAATAATAATAATAATAATAATAATAATAATAATAATAGCAACTTCAGCAAGGATAAGATTCTCACAAGCGCATTACGCCATCACACAGACACAAACTAAATGTTTTTCATGATTTCTGCACACAAAACACACACATGAAATTCCTGTCTTGTTTTCTAAGATTCATCATCGTACCTCCTCCACCTGCAAAACCTTTTTGAAGCCACTGACATAAGAGACCTCATTCCCATGAAACAAAAAAAAATATTTTTCCCTTTTTTCTTTCATTTCTACTCAAATCCTTGACTTAGGTAGCCTGGTCGGGCAGGGATCATTTGCGCATCTCGTGAGAAATCTAAAGAAAAACAGAGGAACTAATAGCAAACAAACAAAAATAATAACATACGATTCTCAAATTTCCTAGAAGTATTGACCATGTTAGTCTCTTTTAACCTCATATAACAGTGGATAATGATGCATTCACAGACACAAACACAAAACAAACCACCAAACAACAGAGAAAAAAAAAAAGAAGGAAGAAATTAAAGTAAATGCAGAACACCCACCAAATCATTCTTGGGATTCAGCTTTATGGCTTCCCAGGTGACTTCAAGATTCTCGGTGGACGCATCCATGGCAAAGCAATCGAGCATTATCTCGCGCACACTGGAGGCGTAAGCAACCCGGTGCACCAGATCGTACGTTGCCTCGAAACCCATCACCGAACCTGATCGGCGCTTGCTGCGGCGATGCTTACTGATCATCTCAAGGATTTCTGTGTCTTTGCCATCAAAAAGTGAGTCGCTCGGGTATTGTATGTCCTCGTCGGTTTCGCAATCTGTACAGCTCTGGTATTCAGGAAAGGAAGGAAGAATCACCTCCTCCATTCTTAGTCCCCAAGCTCCTCTGCAAATGATCGATTAGGGCTATTACGGCCCGTTCGCAGAGAAATTGCAATATTATATTGGGGTCATTTGAGTTTGGAATACGACACTATACTGTGTAAAAAAAAAAAAATTGTTTTTAAATAAATCCTCCCTATATATAATTCGCGAATGCGCTGAGCCTACATGGCTGCTTCTGGTGCTTCGTAATCCTATTTGGCGAAGAATTATGTTTCGTAATTAGGTTTGGATAAATAATATTGATATATTAATAATTAATAATCTAGGTTCGGGTATTCCATAAATATTATTTAGCTAACTTAGGTATTTTAATATCACTTTTACTAATATAACCCTTTAATTCTTTGTAATTTTACATAGTGAGGCACTAAGTGACTAATATATCCCTAAATTTTTATTTGTTTCCTTCAATAAGCTATTGAATTATAAATGTATTTCAATAAATAATTTTATTTTTTTAATTAATATTAAAAGTATTTATTGTTGTTATAAAGATAAATATAAATTATTTTTTTATACATACAATATGGATGTTAAATCGAAGCTCATCAAAAGAAGATTAATTTGATATATTACATATGTAAAACTGATAAAAAAATAAAAAAGTTATTAACTTTTAAAATATATATACACTTCAATAGTTATAATAAGGAATAATATTAAAATGCAATTAATGCATGTAACATGACCATAAATAATCAACATATTTATGGAAATCCGAACCTAATTATTTTTTGTTTCGAATTAAATTAAAATTTACCAAAGCCTAATAACGAAGCATGTTATTTTGCCACATATGATTTCGAAGCACCAGAAGCAGCCACGTAGGCTCAGCGCGTTCTAGATTAATATAGAGGGGGATATCAAAGAAAAAATACAAAAATAACTCAATTTTCATTACTATATTTTTCCACACTTTTTTAATTGAAAAAATAAATTCAGTAATTCATTTGTTTGCAAAATAAGTCTGGTGGTAATCATAATAACATGCGAGATAAATCACTATTTGTAAAGTTACAAACATGCCAACAGTTATTTATGTTCATGTCACTAAGAAATTACTTATTTTTTATATGTAACTTATGCAAAATGTAACTTAATATAATTTTTAAAAATGTACATTAATAAAAAAAAAATAGATTTAAATTGTATTACATAAATTATAAAAAAAAGTAAAATTCATTTTGATAAAATGAGTATTTATTATATAAGATAAAAAAAAAAAGAGTTTTTTATTGCAACAATTTACTAGCAGTAATATTTCTTGTCATTCTCTTAAGAAAAAAAAAACATGTGTTATAATAACAAAAAATTAACAATAATAAACCAAATATCTTATTTATATTCATACAAAAATATAGTTTCATAGTAGTGGATCAATAAAGAAATAAAAATGTGTGGAGTCACTTCAGTCACAAATTTTTAGATGACCCAATATTAGGTCCATATAAAACAAATGATATCAATTAAAAATATAATAAATTAAACAAACTATGTATTTTGGTCTCAAATTATTTAATCAGTTAGGACAAAAACCAATGTAAAAGACCTCATATATAACAAATATTCCACTAAATAATTAGATGATAAATATGTATTGTCTTATTCAGTCTTCATGGTCAAAACCGTATTGTCACTCTTATTCTCTTTTATGGTTGAGACTTTCTCACTCTGATATAGGATATTATGCCCACAAGGCTAAACCGGTTTGTTGAATCGGTCGAAGAGGTCATACCGCGGAGAAGCCAAGCTGAATGGCGGGAAAATCGACCAGTCAATCAGTCGACCAGCTAAGCAGTCGACCAATCTATCCGTCGACCAAGTGAACGGTCGAGCAGTTTAGTCGACCTCAATTGGTCGACAACTTCGCGAACTTAGCAGAGCATAGATCGGCCTAGTCACAGGCGCGTGAAAGAGCCCCTAACGGAATTTCAGAAGAATATTCATTCCATGTGCATGAGGACACGTGTCGAGAACTTATTGGTTGATAGCGACAACCGCCTCTGACAGCTCCCAACGTCCTGCGCCACCTCTGACATGTGCGCGACGTGTCAGAGTACGGACAGGCAGCTTGGGTAGCTAGCTTATTAAATCCGAGCAGCCTTAGGTCAGGTATTTCACTAATATATAAAGGGAGTGAGCCTTTCTTCCCAACACACAATTTTTCCATTATTCAATTTCAGTATACTCATACACATACTGACTTAGGCATCGGAGGCTCTTCACCGGACACAACCCCCGGTGTGAGAGTTATTTGCAGGTTCCCGGCGTTCTACCGGCGAGGAAAAGAATCAATCTACCCCAAACCGGATCAGGACGCTCACACTTGCATTATTGGCGCCGTTTGTGGGACTTTCGTTCGAGAAGTTGTGTTTCAAGCTCAGCTATGGCGGACCAAATTCCCAAAAACTTGCAGTTGACGTTCGACGACGCTCAGATGACGACCAGGCCGATTCGGCAAGGCCCTCCTCCAGGTTTTTCTGGCCCTTCGCAGACGCCGATCACTCCTACATCTGTTCTTCATGGTGTGGGAGTATCGACGGCGATCCCCGGAGGAGATGCCAGCTTCAGTCGTGCCCAAGAAGCTCGCGCAGCAGCTGCAGCGGTGATGCCACTGTCGCCGCC